GTGGAGCCAAGCAGCAGCTGCAGGCCAGAGACAGGGACTGCATCCCAAATGACAACCTATTCCCTGTATAGTGTACTACTTTTGACCTTATGGGCCATGGTCTAAAGTAGTGCACTATGTGGGGAAAACGGTGCCTTTTGGGAGGCAGCCCAGAGACAGGCCCTTCTTTCCAGGGAGCCTCTGGCGGTCCCACCACCGCACTTGAAGTGGTCCCTTCCCCAAGAGGGGCTGCTTGCCACACAACCCCCCCTCAAACACACACACACATGCACACACACAGCTGGAAGCAATTAGGGTGACAATCACACAGGGCCATCTCGGCAGCACACAAGGTTCTGCTTAGCACGCTACTCTTACACAGTCGCTCGCACACTCAGCTTGCATAGTCACTCACAGACCCACACGCACCACACGTACTCCATCACTCTCCTAAACATCCCACACGAAGTTCCTACTCAAATACAGAGAGAGAGAGAGAGAGAGAGAGAGAGAGAGTATGGACAAACATGTTTGATTTCATCTTTATCAATTCAATAGATCTGATTCATTTTCAGTGGGAGGAAAATGCCATTTTAACCCAAACAAGAGTCACAGTTTAATTAACAAGCCGATGAAAATGTCATCCTGTATCACTCTGATGAAGACTGACACTGGCTGAATAGCAATACGTGTTGGAGTGTGGCTGTAGTTGGTCTGTGGCCAAGACTGTGTCTGTCTGTCAGTACTACTGCCTGCATCAGGGCCTATCTCTGTCCACGCTGAGAGACGGGCAGGCACAGAGAGACAAACCCCCTCTCACAGACAGAGCAGGGCAGCAGGCCCCAGCCCAGACAATCTCTCTCAGTCTCCAGCTGGAATTCCCCAGCTCTCCCATTCCTTTTCTAGACTGGGGCTGGGCGGTGTAGCAGCTAGGTAACATGACAATTCCCAGGGGTGAGGCGAGAGGCGAGAACCAGTGACTCACCCCATAATGAGAGGTCTGGCCCTACCTGTACACACCTGATACCTCCTTGCCCCCTTCACACATCATCACACCTCACCCCTCGTACCTCACACATCATCACACCTCACCCCTCGTACCTCACACATCATCACACCTCACCCCATGTACCTCACACATCATCCATCACACCTTACCTCGCTTACCTCACACCTTGCACTGCAGGCCTACCTCAGTAACCTCACATTGATTTCACATAATACCTCACATTGCAGTGTACAGAGACTACAGCTGACAATCAGTCTGAGTTTCCAGAAGCTTCTCTGACAGTAGTCCCTACAAGTACTCTCCATCCATCTTCCATTACCCCACTCAGCCCGCCAGCCTGTCTGCATGCCAGTCAATCTGTCAGTCAGTGCATTCAGTATATTCACTACAGACATGTACTATTAGTCATTCAGTGTGTCAACCATCATACCAAACGACCAAAGTCACACCATGTTGTCACATTTGTTTACGTGTGCAGTTGTCAGATATGACTGCTTTGCTGCACTAGGGTGAAGTACAGAGTGAAAAAGAGAAAAGTACAGTAAAAATGAAAGCTACTGTAATGCACTGTTCTGGACTCTACAGGTGTTCCTCTTTGGGTCTTTTTTCAGGCACAGCACAGGAGCTACTGTCCAGTCATTTTGGATTCCGATTTCTCTTTCTGTGGTTTTGTCTACAGTAAAAGGTTGTCAGTATTGAAATGCTATTTTGAGCAGTGTATCTTGGGGGGTTATTTGACTAAATTGTTTTATCTTGCACCTGAAAGATACAGTTAACTGAACGATCTTGTGTCTGATATCATTTCAGAGATGTTTATTAAATGTATTTGATGTTTTTCTTTACCATTAGAATTGTAACAAAACAGTGCAATTACTACATTTGAACCAATAAATAAGTAAAAAGTGACATTTCATTTTGAATATACCTGAATAGATTCAAGTTAAAGTTAAACGTAGGTATACATTTTTTATTTTTTTTAAAGGCTAAGAATTGAAGTTGAGTGCATCATAAACATTAAATATCAAGCGTGGATAAAGTTGTTTCTGGAGACCTCTTATTGTGATAACTGTGTTGGGAGAGTATAGATTGAGACTGCACACTGGTCTGTACACGAGGGACAGGGGCTTTTTCAGGAGGGAGGGGAAGGGGTCTGGAGGGAGGGAGGGAGGGACAAGAGAGGTACATTCCAGTCCTTCAGATTTATAAATGGTCCCGTCCAGAAACAGGCCTGCAGCAACGGCAAATTATAGTCATCTGCAGCATTCTTCTGCAAATACAAATATAGGTTACCGTTGGATTGTGCTTAAGTGCTAGGTGCTCTCTGTTGACAAATGACTTCCTTTGAAAGGCACAGAGAGCCTTTTTGTTTTGTTTCAGGACGCTGCTCTTTTATGTGGGCCGACTCGATAATGGAAAACGTCACGTTTATTAAAACCATTTCGCTGCCTGGCCTGGCGAGTGTCAGTGGGGTGGGTGTCTGTGGAGTGGGGTGAAATAGTGAGTGGGGTCCTAACCTCACAGGCTTCTGACTGACTGACACATCATGGGAAGGAACTTGTAGCTTGGATCAAGATCCCTCTTTGCCATAAAACAATTGTTGGTGGTGCGATGCAAGCAGCAGGGGCCAAACAGTAAAACTGCTTGCTCTAGGAGAAGACGACGTAAGCTCAGAATGTCAAAGTCATGTTCACAGGAGACTGGCTGGTACAAAGGAGTGGAAACAAAGAACAGAGTTCACAGCTCTGAGTTTCTTCATTTCACTTGGTAGTGGTTCAACAAGATTCTGGGAGCCTGACCTTAGGCCTTAGTTCTCGAACATCGTACATAAACACCCCCTTGACCCTCCCATGAGCTAGTGAGCGCACACACACAGTAGGGGTGTATGAGAATAGGGAGGTTGTGTGTGTGACCTGTGTGTGTAATGGTAGGTTCCCAGCCAGGTAATGAGGTCCTTGCTGAGTCAGGGGCCCTGAGTTAACAAGCCTGTCTTCTCCTGTGTGTCCTCTCCAGGCATTCACAGGCCCCAGTCCCAGGACATCTCAGGCTTCTACTCCCTACCTCAGAGCGGTGTGGGACAGATGCCCCCCTCCATGGGCTGGTAAGTCTCACGCACACATACACACACACACTCTCTCTCGTGCACACACACACACATACTCTCTTGCACACGGACATGAGCGCGCCGCACACACACACACTGACCTGGACTACTGACCCCTACTACATCAACCAATCGAGTCTCACTTCAGCCACTCAAGCCTTTTTTTGCATGGCAACCACTTCATCCCACGCAGTTAGTAGCTCCTATAAAGTTGGTTTATCGTGACAAAATTGGCAAATGCAGTAGTGATTGAATAGTTAACTTCCTAAAATACGAATGCCCTGCCTTGGATTCATTGATCATATCTAGCCTAGAGTTCCTCTCTCAAAATGAAACTTTTGTCTTCCCTTGCCTTCCCAGCCGCTAAGGCACTATAACAGAAAGTGTATACGATGCCAAATCAGAGCATGTTTTAACACCCATAATCTCAGACAGGGATTGTTAGAACACACGCTCTGGCTAACAATCCATCCATTGACTTGAGCTCAACTTTACAAATCCATTTATTAAAAATCTGTAACTGGCAGAATAACTTTGTGCAAATCCCCCTGAACAATTGTGGGCTTATCTTAAATGTGATGGGGATTTGGTTCACCATAATGGAATGACAGCTAAGACTACTTCCATTCACATCCATGCTGTGTGTCTTTAAAGCTGGTGGAGGACATTGGCGCTCCCTAGACATGCTCCGTCCGCACGAGGCAGAGGTCTGCTATTTCTCTGGACTCTCTCACTGTCTTTTATTTCAAACAGTTAATGGTCACTGTGGAGTTTCTGTGGTATTGTCAACAAATCATGTTGTTTACAAACTCGTAATCTGCTTAGTGCAGATTATGCATTTGTTTGGTTTTCTTGTGTCCCTCTTTGTTTGGGGAAGAGAGAGCAAAGAAAGGAGATGACAAACAACTGGATGTGACTCACTGCGTGGTGTGGTGTGTCCCACTCCGGCCACCGTATGGCACGTGACTGGGGCCTGGGAGGATGTGTATTGTCTTCTTTCCCCATGAAGCTAGGCAGCCCACTGTAGGGACAGCCGACTGTAGCAGACAGCAGTACGTTTCACAGTTAATTTGTTTCAAAGAAGTTCAGATACAGGGTTAAGCAAGAAATTGATCAAGATTTCTCTATATAGTTGGTACTCTTAAAGGGACATGAGAGGGACAAATCACAAATCTATCGGTATGCCAATACACAGGAAAACCCCATCCGTGCCACAACACAAACAGGAAATGTTCTCTCCCCAGCGGAGGACGGACAGGGCTGTGGAGAGAAGAGGTGTTAGGTCCTGGATGTGGATGTTGCTCCTAATGGGCCTGTTGGCTGGGATTAGCACGTGAATCCCTCCCTGAGAGAATCCTCTGGACCTGGGAGCCTCCCTGACACTGAGCCTCCTCTGCCTTCCTTGATCTCAGGGACCTCCTGGGGCTGAGGAGGGCTGGGGAGGCGGGAAGCATGGAGCTGGGGTGCTTCTGCATATCAAAGACTCCTGTTCAACCCCCCCTGCAGCAACAGGAAATGTGAATGGAGTGGATTATAATTAATAGACATTTCTGTAGGGGTTGATAAATTTTTTGTTAGGGCAAATCAAGTCTGAAATGTTAAATTGAACATTACAAACATTAGAAGCCTTTTTAAACCTTGAATACACTAAGATGGCGCCGATAGACATGGTCACCCTGTTCATGGCTCATAAGCAACTTTTTAGTATTTCATTTTTTTGTGTGTTGTAAAATTTTACAAGTAATTTTCATCATAGGTACACGTCAACTATGACAGACAAATTGAGGAAAAAAAGTCCAGAAAATCACATTGTAGAATTTTTAATGAATTTTTTTGCAAATTATGGTGGAAAATAAGTATTTGGTCACCTACAAACAAGCAAGATTTCTGGCTCTCACAGACCTGTAACTTCTTCTTTAAGAGGCTCCTCTGTCCTCCACTCGTTACCTGTATTAATGGCACCTGTTTGAACTTGTTATCAGTATAAAAGACACCTGTCCACAACCTCAAACAGTCACACTCCAAACTCCACTATGGCCAAGACCAAAGAGCTGTCAAAGGACACCAGAAACAAAATTGTAGACCTGCACCAGGCTGGGAAGACTGAATCTGCAATAGGTAAGCAGCTTGGTTTGAAGAAATCAACTGTGGGAGCAATTATTAGGAAATGGAAGACATACAAGACCACTGATAATCTCCCTCGATCTGGGGCTCCACGCAAAATCTCACCCCGTGGGGTCAAAATGATCACAAGAACGGTGAGCAAAAATCCCAGACCACACGGGGGGACCTAGTGAATGACCTGCAGAGAGCTGGGACCAAAGTAACAAAGCCTACCATCAGTAACACACTACACCGCCAGGGACTCAAATCCTGCAGTGCCAGACGTGTCCCCCTGCTTAAGCCAGTACATGTCCAGGCCCGTCTGAAGTTTGCTAGAGTGCATTTGGATGATCCAGAAGAGGATTGGGAGAATGTCATATGGTCAGATGAAACCAAAATATAACTTTTTGGTAAAAACTCAACTCGTCGTGTTTGGAGGACAAAGAATGCTGAGTTGCATCCAAAGAACACCATACCTACTGTGAAGCATGGGGGTGGAAACATCATGCTTTGGGGCTGTTTTTCTGCAAAGGGACCAGGACGACTGATCCGTGTAAAGGAAAGAATGAATGGGGCCATGTATCATGAGATTTTGAGTGAAAACCTCCTTCCATCAGCAAGGGCATTGAAGATGAAACGTGGCTGGGTCTTTCAGCATGACAATGATCCCAAACACACCGCCCGGGCAATGAAGGAGTGGCTTCGTAAGAAGCATTTCAAGGTCCTGGAGTGGCCTAGCCAGTCTCCAGATCTCAACCCCATAGAAAATCTTTGGAGGGAGTTGAAAGTCCGTGTTGCCCAGCGACAGCCCCAAAACATCACTGCTCTAGAGGATATCTGCATGGAGGAATGGGCCAAAATACCAGCAACAGTGTGTGTGAACCTTGTGAAGACTTACAGAAAACGTTTGACCTGTGTCATTGCCAACAAAGGGTATATAACAAAGTATTGAGAAACTTTTGTTATTGACCAAATACTTATTTTCCACCATAATTTGCAAATAAATTCATTAAAAATCCTACAATGTGATTTTCTGGATTTCTTTTACTCATTTTGTCTGTCATAGTTGACTTGTACCGATGATGGAAATTACAGGCCTCTCTCATCTTTTTAAGTGGGAGAACATGCACAATTGGTGGCTAACTAAATACTTTTTTCCCCCACTGTAGTTATCTGGCTAGTTAGCTAGCTTTTCCATCACTGACATAAAAAGCTTGCCTAGCCTGTTTCAATTACCCTAAAGTTGTAGACATGCAGCCCCACAATTAAGAGGAACCGACTGTTATCAGAAATGAGTCCGTAGATCAGAATGTTTCTCCGCGATCGTTGGGTCAGCTGAGCACAGCAGCTGACTTGGGAGGCTACTGCAATGACTCGTGGCAGAAAGAACAGCTGCTTCATGAAAACTCATAATGATGGAAGCATTATCACTACTAGCTACAGTAGCTTACTAGCTAGCTTTTGTTGGAAGATCCAACATTGTGGGCGCGTTCGAGCGGATCACATATGTCAAGTCGGTGACCAAAGTGTGCTGCAGGTTTCTGCAGTTGCTCTTCACCAACTTCATCCTGAAGCCATCGCCTGCATTGTGGGAGGCTGTATTGTCAAACAATCATTAGGGTGTTTTTGTTTGACCCACGCGAACGTGACCAAAGATGTGACTGAAACAGGAACCAACTTTGCCGCAATTCATGTATACAGTGGATATGTACAAATTAATGTGACATTTGAGGCTCTCTTTCACCAGTTGATTGTACAATGTACACACATATATTTTCAGTTTGTGAGGGTGTGGGGGTTGGAGACATGTTTATTTTGACATTATAAAGAACAACTTTTATAAACAATGACAACACTGCCATGTTGCACTGAGACTTGCTGTTGGAAAACCACATCAGTGTCCGACGTTCGGCTGTCACAGATGCACCTCCCCCGACTTCACTCCTCGACTTTCGTCTCTCAATCGGTGACGTCACCCACCTTGAGACCCAAAAGTAGTTGTTTCCCTTGCTCTTCAAGGGCTGCAGCTTTTGTGGAGCGATAGGTAACGATGCTTCTTGGGTGGCAGTTGGCGATTTGTTCAGAGGGTCTCTGGCTCAAGCCCTGGTTGGGGCAAAGAGAGGGACAGAAACAATACTGTTACATTAGGATGGACTTAACTCCATAACCAGTCAAGCCCCTCATTAGCTAGCTGGTACACAGACTCAGAACCCAGACTGCCCGTATATACCTATAGCAGGGGTATTCAACCAGGGGTACTGCAGGGGGTCTGCGAAAAATATCGAAATAATAAAGTGTTGTTTTTCCCCCCAATGTTTTTATGAATATCGCTAGCAATAACAGAATAAACTAATTTTGAATTACATCCCTACAGTAGAAAATAGGAAAATATCTTCTAATGATGTCAACTTTATTTCTCAACTCCTAATATTGAGCAAATTACACTTATTGGAACCAATTACACTTACTGGATTATCTGACATAGGCTTTGAAATAGCACCTGCGAATAGGCTACCAGTGCCACTGGCTACTGGTAAGCTTTCTTGACTTGGACATAATTTTTTGTCAACACATGGCTAACCTTTGTTTAACCAGCTAAACAGCTGCTCTTAGTAAAAATGTGTTTGGAGTTACCTTTCTAGCTAATAGGCTATGTTAGAGTTTACACTTCCTCTTCCAATTATAATGTGGGGAGGTCAAAATAATGAAAAACGATTTATGTTGATTACTTCTCCTTGCCATGTTCATTCACCTGATGATAAGATAAGACGTGATTATTTTAATTTTTTGCTAACATAAGATGGGGGTCCCTGGAATGGTATCAAACACATGGTTCCTAGGTGTTTGATGCCATTCCATTCGCTCCATTCCAGCCATTATTATGAGCCGTCCTCCTCTCAGCAGCCTCCACTGGTCTAAACATATTGTAGAAGTTAGGCAGTGAGGATTTGATCAGCAGCCTAGTTGAACTCTATTGCATCCCTATTTGTCCTCCCAACCACAGGCAAGGTCAGCCTGTCTATCCCCTGTCCTCATGTGGATTCAGACAGCCCTACTCCTCCAGTCTCCCCAACAGCTCTTCCTACCCCAGGTACAGTATTAGCTGAGCTGCTTCAGTCTGGGGAGGGAATCGCAAAATACATACCTACCCCTCTTCCAGACCAATGCTTCTACTCCTCCCACCTACCATGTGTCCTTCGCTATTGCCTTGTACAGGTGCCTCCGCAACGTGTGTGTCCTGGCTTTTTGTGTGCCAACTGCTATACCCTACCCTGCAACTGTGTGGGGACCCACACGAAGAGACAACCCCTCTGTTCTCCTGGACAGAAGAGTGAGTGCAGCAGTGTATCTCATGTTGCTGTGACAAAGAGAGATGCTATACACAAACCACTGCAAACTGTCTGCAGTTGACTGTTGTTATTGTAGGCATAGGCTCTGTCATGAAATCTCTCCTCTGTCACTGTAACTGGCGAGCCAAACATGCTAACTCAGTTAGCTTCAGCAATAAATCCAACTGGAGACATTGTTCACATTTAAATGTCATCAAACATCTATGTCACACAGCTTTCTCTCAGTCCCATCAGTTCAGAGTGAGGCTTTAGGATTTGAATGTTTATTTTACACTGGAAGAATTATGTCTTTGGAATTTTATAAATCAGAAAATACATTTAATGACTAAATATATAACATATTCATTTCAGGAAATCAAAAACACACATTTCCAACATTACAACTCACATTTTCAATAAAGTTTCAGTAAATGGCACTTTTCATTCCCAATAAAATAATGAATAAATAGATATCATCAACAATATGAATCTCAAAAAATAAGATACTGAAAAGAAGCATTTAATGAAACCCTAATGAAAAATAGAGCAAGTATATTCCTGTTATCTACAGCGCAGCCTAGCTTTTGTCTGCATGTGACTACAGCTCCCTCTGCTGGCGTTGGATGAGACTTTTCACAGTCTTAATGCTCTGAGAGGACTGTCAGAAAGCCCATTCTTACAGGGCCAACCAACAGCCCACGTGCTTCAGCGCTTCATGGTCACGCTGCCATATATAAAGACAAAACATATTTTCTGATGCTTTGGTCTCTGTCTCTCTTTGTCTCCTCCCTCTGTCTCTCCCCCACTAGGTTCTCTCACTCTCTGATGCTAGGACCAGGCATGCACCCCACAGGCATCCCCCACCCAGCCATCGTGCCACCTTCAGGCAAACAGGACCATCATGACCATTACGACAGGAACATGTACGCGTAAGTACCCCCATGGTGCAACCCCATCTCTACAATGAGTTAGACACACGTGTCTTTCAAAGGAGATGTGTGATCTGTGTGTGCTAGCCACATGGCATACAATACTGTAGTATCTCATTGATGCATTGAATGTGTATCAAAAGCTTAGATGGATGAATAGATGGATGAATAGCCCCTTCTTATTGTTTTGATGTTCTTGTGTACATATTCACCACGGGTGTCCTTGTTGATCTTGTTTGTCTTCCTCTGCTCGCTCTCTCTCTCTCTCTCTCTCTCTCTCTCTCTCTCTCTCTCTCTCTCTCTCGCTCTCGCTCTCGCTCTCGCTCTCTCTCTCTCTCTCTCTCTCTCTCTCTCTCTCTCTCCCCCTCCCTCCCTCCCTCCCTCCCACCCTCCCCCTCCCTCCCTCCCTCCCTCCCTCAGTAAGCCACACCAGGAGCCCAAGCGGGAGAAGGAGCCTAAGAAGCCAGTGATCAAGAAGCCTCTGAATGCTTTCATGCTGTACATGAAGGAGATGAGGGCCAAGGTGATTGCTGAGTGCACCCTGAAGGAGAGCGCTGCCATCAACCAGATACTAGGCAGAAGGGTGAGTAGCAAGCACACACACACACTAAAACACACACACACATCCATGAATACTCATGCAGCAAAGAGACTCATTCCCAAATCCCTAATCTCAATCCCCCCCCCCCCCCCCCCCCCCCCCGCACGACTGACTGCTGCATATGATACCATTGACCAAGATGCAGAAATAACTCAATGGGATGAATATCATATATGATGCTGTCTGTCTCAAAACTTTGTACAGTGGCCCTTCCTCTATCCAATGTCACTATATCTTGTGAAAGGATGAAATAGTATGAATATATTCATCAAAATAACGTTTTTAATGAAAATATGTCAGTCATTATTTGATTATGTTGGTAACCCGTTGTATAAAAGCATGACTTCGTCTCGGGCCTAACAACACCCGTGCCAATATATCCACCGACTTATCGGGCATTATCACTTAATTAGAGACAATGCGTTCTATGGAAAATAATGAACGACATGGAAGGTGTTCCACGAGTTGCATTATTTTCCAGAGAACGCATAGAGCCCCGAGTTGATTATCCCTTTTATACCATGGCTATAATTTAACACTTTTGCCATTAGAAATGCGTTCATTTCCCGGTGGAAATGTGTTCAACGTCCACTGAAGTAGCTAGCAAGTTTACTAGATAGCTACAGTAGTTGCCTTGGTAACCAAGAAAACAGACTTGCTAGTTTAGCTAACCAAACCATCAGTCCTAGCTTGCTATTAAGAAAATCGAATTCAACAATACCAATACTGTTTTCAATTCGACTTTTTCTTTCAAAAGCAGCTCAAACAAAACATGTAAAAATGAACTATAGCCTTTGAATTCTACCGTGCAAATATACCATGCGTTATAAGGAAAATAATGCACGCTCTAGAATGCACTTCAAGCCAATCAGAAATGAGTATTCAGCAATGCCATGGTATGAAATAATATACAGTGCATTCGGAAAGTATTCAGACCCCTTCACTTTTTTCACATTTTGTTATGTTACAGCCTTCTTCTAAAATTGATTAAATACCTCATAATGACAAAGCAAAAACAGGTTTCTAGAAGCAAATGTATAAAAACATTTTTTTAGCTCAGGTGCATCCTGTTTCCATTGATCATCCTTGAGATGTTTCTACAACTTGATTGGAGTCCACCTGTGGTAAATTCAATTGATTGGACATGATTTGGAAAGGCACACACCTGTCTATATAAGGTCCCACAGTTGAAAGTGCATGTCAGAGCAAAAACCAAGCCATGAGGTCGAAGGAATTGTCGGTAGAGCTCCAAGACAGGATTGTGTCGAGGCACAGATCTGGGGAAGCGTACCAAAAAATGGAACATTGAAGGTCCCAAAGAACACAGTGCACTGTAATAAGATAAACCAATTCCCTCAGCCCTCCTAGCCTCAACAGTTGTCATTGTGCATGTCATTTTCTAGGCCACGTGTCAAACTCAAGGCCTCAATTTTTTTTTTATTATTTCTTTTTCGGGGGAAAAAAACATTGAACTGACTAAAACCAAATCAAACTGTATAGAAATGATAATGGACCTACATTTATAGTCTCTTCACTCTGTCCAGTTTGCTAATAGTCATCAAAATGAAAGCTATAAAGTCAGGGAGCATCAAAAATTAGAGGACTATTTTTTCTAATGTTGATGGCGAGAAAATATAATACATTTTAAGTGCGGCCCTCTGGACCTCGGTGAAGACCGAATGTGGCCCGTGAGGAAAACTAGTTTTACACCCCTGGTCTAGGCTAATGAACAAAACCTAAATGGTATCTTTGTTTTGTGTGTGTGTGTGTGTGCGGGTGCATGCTTGTGTGTGTCTTCCCTGCAGTGGCACGCCCTGACCCGGGAGGAGCAGGCCAAATACTATGAGCTGGCCAGAAAGGAACGGCAGCTACATATGCAGCTCTACCCCAGCTGGTCCGCCAGAGACAACTACGTAAGGCCCGCCTTTTCCTGCTTACACACACACAGCATGTTCACCCCACCCTGCCACCTGTCAATCAATGAGGCAAGTGGCTACACATAGAAATATCAACCTATTGTATCTAATCGTATTTATTTGACGCATTTCCAGAGTTGTTAATGTATCAGTGCAGACAATGTTAGAGAGACTAGTCTATGACCTTATTGTTATGACCAGTGTTATAACCTCTATGACTAGTGTTATAATCTCTTGGCATGCCATTCCTTTAGAGTGGGTTTTGAGAATGAGATAGAGCATACTGGACATTAGTTGGTCATTCATGGCTGTTCAGTGTTGTTCAGTGAGGTGATTTAATTGGCAGTTGAGTGCTTTGCTGTTAGGGATGCATGACGAGCTACGCATTTATTACACATAGCATTACACAGTCAGCTGCAAACCTACCGCTCCCCTCTCATCTCTGTTTTACTTTAATAGGTTTTTATATTACGGGTAGTTATATGCATGGAGGGCATCTTTGTACTGTTGTAACTGGACCTTAGTATAAGTGCACTGACTATGACATCTGTAATTAGTAGTGGCTTGCTTGTAAACTGAGTTAAGAAGTAGTTTAGAGAATCCCTTGTTTCAAATACTGTGCAGATAAATATGATGTGTATTAGAGAGACATGTTTCTAAGAACGTCTCTATGTTATGTTTGTTAGCTTAATGCTGCTTAACTACCCTTCTGTGCTGTGCTCAATTGTGAAGTTGCTGTTGAATTCTTCCAGGAGGCGGGCCTTAGAGAGGGCGCGGGGGAAAAGAATAAAGCTGATTGGGTAGGGCACACATTTTACCCCACTTACCCGCTCTACTAACAGCAGGGTGGCTTTGGCTTGCTCTCCTCCTCAGGCGGTGGGGCGGTGGGGTTCGGACTGTAGAGAGGGAGAGGACAGCTGGGAGCTGGGCTGGAGAGGCTTTCTGGGCTTTGGGGGACCATTATTAGGCTATACCCTCCCTTAGGGCAGGCACAGAGGGGTGGAGGTGGCTTATGTTATGTTAGTTAGCTATGTATCTGGATGTGTTTCTATGGGAGGTGGTTTTCCTGGACTACATAATTGCCAGTGTTCGCTCACCCCATATGAAAACAGACAGAATGAGTCTCAAAGGGAGAGAGCTCACTTTCTTGCTTTCCTGGAGATCTTTTACACAGCCTATTTCCTTTCCTTGGCTTGATAAAGTTTGGGGTTTTGTATCATAACACACCATAGGGGCTTGGCTCTCTCATTTCTCTCTGTCTCTTGGCTGTGGATAGTTGTGAGATTAGCTGGTTAGGGTAAAGAGGGTTACGAGCTGGTTGAGGTGGTTGTCAATGAGGTGAAATGTGCATGAAGCTTTTACTACTGCATCTGATTTAGTATAAAATCGGATTAATATGATGCAATGTTTTTATGTGAACATAAATGTCACTCTTTAACACTTGAATGTATGTTTCCATGTATCTTTCTTCTTATTTCAAAGATGGAAAAATACAGCCCGAGACAATACTGTCCCAAACACATTAGAACTAATGGCAGCTCTATAATAATATAATATAATAAAATAGTAACACTTTATAGCAGTAGTATTCAAAGTCGGGGTCGTGACCCCTTGATAAGAGATGGAAATGCAATGAATTTAAGGTTATCTGTTGATGTAAAATATTTCAGTTGACCGATTTTAAGGTTGTGCCATTACATTTGGGGTGAGGTGGGGTCGCAAGAAATTCTTGGGGGAAAAATGGGATCCCCAGAAATTTTGGCTGAAAAAATGGGCTCGCCGCTGAAAAAGTTTGAATACCAATGTTTTATTGTGACCATATAGGTAACACTTTATTTGGATAGTCCCAAACAGATGGTTTGTAGATGTTCAGTAGATGCTACCAATAATAATAATAATAATAATAATAATAATACATTAATTTTATATAGAGCTTTTCATTACAAGTAGAATCTTAAAGTCACTTTAAAAACAAAATAAACAAAAAACGATTTAACAAAACAAATATAGGGATTTGGCAGTTCTTGGGCAAAGGTCTTCCACATCTTTAGATGATAGGCAGTTCAGAAATGTAGTATCTTGAGAGGAGGGAGCATAGATGGTACAGCCAGGCAGGGAGGTAGAGACATCTGACTGACAGGCCACAGAGCTCTTCATCAGGCCCCTCGTCATCTTCGATAGTCACAGCTCTTCCTTCTCCGTAGGTTCACTCTTAGAAAAAAGGGTTCCAAAAGGGTTCTTCGGCTGTCCCCATAGGAGAATCCATTTTTATTCCAGATAGAACCATTTTGGGTTCAATGTAGAACCCTCTGTGGAAAGGGTTCTACATGGAACCCAAAACGGTTATTCAAAGGGTTCTCCTATTGGGACACCGGAAGAACCCTTTTAGGTTCTAGATAGCACCTTTTTTCTAAGATTGTAGGCTGGATTGTCCTCTACTGAAATGTAGCACCCACCTGGGTGACGCTTCGGCACTGTAACAGCGGCAGTAAGACCCCCACACCTCAGCAGTGGTTCAGAAAAGCCCCCTACAAAGCAAGCCTCTAGGAACTGGGGCAGGGGGTCAAAAAGCATTTTAGCTAGCTAGCCAAGCCAAATATAAACTGACTTGCCATAATCAGTCCTGCAATTCCGTGGGTCAGCACCAGATATTTCAGTTAATTTATCAACAAGTTATCAAAAGCAAAAAAAGTTTGATTCCAATGAAAAACACTTAAAAACAATAAAATATGTACAATATTTACAGAGCTCTCTGCCTAGGCTACCTCACAGCGCCATGGCAACCACAGAACTCAATAACGTAATAAATATTACATTATTATTAATTAATAACATATGTTCAATAACTGTTAACAAAATTTCAACTAACTATCCACTAACAATAACCCTAAACCTAACCTGAGCAAACAGTTGCTTATCAACAGATAGTTTGTTAGCGTACGCTTTTATCCAAAGCGACTTACTGTCATGCGTGTATACATTTTACATATACATTTACATTTTAGTCATTTAGCAGACGCTCTTATCCAGAGCGACTTACAGTTAGCACATACATTATTTTATGGGTGGTCCCGGGAATCAAACCCACTACCCTGACGTTACAAGCGCCATGCTCTACCAACTGAGATACAAAGGACCACTAGCTATAGTCTGTCCCCTGCTACAGTCTACCCCTTCCCAGACACAAGCCAGAAAACCAGGGAAGTCATGTGATCTGTTAGCAAAACAGGAAGTGAAGGTCCACCTACGCAGTCGTGGGGTTTTCTTCCGCCAGCCGTAACCACACACACACACAATGCTTTAGGGAGCAGTCAGGGTAGACAAGTCTCTGCGTAGGCATCAAAGAGCTGTTCCCACATCCTCTCCCCAATATGAGACTTTAGACTTTATCATGCTCGTCTTGATAACAACCCCAACCATGCTATTAAGGCCCCACTGTGTAGCCCATGGAGTTTACAGCAATATGGTGCTGCTGGGGAAATCCATTACTGTAGATAATTAGAGTTCTTTCCCTTCTCTTCCCCTCTACTGTCATAGTAACTTGTGACCTGAGTGATCATGAAGTGACCTCAGACCCCCATTCCACGACTTGTGAATTGGGACGTCTCTGGTACAGATGACTAAGTCTCATGATTATGGTGAATATCATGACATGGTTCTCCCATGCCTTCATCGAGATGTCACTGACAGACTGTCCTGGTGGTGTATAGGAACTCGTTCCCCTGCTGACTGTGTGTGTCTGGTCGTGTTCCAACAGGGCAAGAAGAAGAGAAGAAAAAGAGAGAAGCAGCAGGACTCCACCACAGGTAATGTCCAATGATCAACCTTCAACCTCTCTCTCCTACCAAACCCCAAGCTTCGATATAGTATACTAAAACGTCAAGCCCTATTCCATCGTTTGAAACAACTTCACTGGTTGACTATCCCCTAGCAGTACCCTCTTCCGTTATTGGTTTGTACTCTGACTGGGTCACTGCTACTCGAACTAACAGAGTGTGAAAGCATGGCAGACTTCCCATTTGAAGTGTTCCTCTCTTCCCTAATGGCCTGTGTCCTGAATGCCTGTTGTGAACGGAGCTCCTGCTCCCTCTACTCTGTTCTGGCTGCAGTTTGTAGGTTGTTGTTGTTAACTCCTACTCAGTAATTGGGCACTAACAGTCTGGTTTGATGGCTTTCTGATTGACCATCTCTGTCAATGCATCAACGTCTGCCCTGACCTCTTGATCTGATTTACTCTCTCTCTCTCTCTCGCTCTCTCTCACCCACTCTCCCTCTCTTTCCTTACTTCTTTCCTATGCGCATGTTGCCTTGTGCTCAGACCCTGGCTCTCCTAAGAAATGCAGAGCTCGCTTCGGCCTCAACCAACAAACGGACTGGTGTGGTCCCTGCAGGTGTGTACCTCTCGCTCTGCTACCCCTCTCTCCCTCCTCTGTGAGCGTGCCTCAGCCCACTGCTGTGCTCTGCTCTGCATGCACTCATCTCACTAACCCTGTGACTCCGTGACCCACGTCGCCCCCTACAGGTAGAGAACCCCAGCATACTGGGGGGTCAGGAGGCTGAATTGGAAACTAAAGCTGCTTTACTGGCTGGTGATGGGGTGTGTCCTCAGGGATTTGTGGGTGAAAAGGTGGGGATGATGATCAAAGGAAAGTGGGGGAGGGGTCCTGTAGGTCTGAGGGGAGAAAAGGGGTTCACACATAGGATGTTCTCTGCTTAAAACGGATATTTCTCGGTTATCCTATTGGTAGAAATGACAAAGCAGGCATTTTTTATTTATTTCCAGTGGATGGATGATCAGTCATGCTCATCTTTAGTGCCTTTTTTTTACCAACTCAATCTCTTTTCCTTTATACATCTCCACACTCATAGTCACATCAGTGTAGAGGTGTGAAGAAAGCCATGTACCTGCCCTGCCCACACCCCCACACCCCCACACCCCTTGCACTGTGCAGCACTTTAGCAACTCCATCCTGCCACAGTGTCTTCCCCACCATGCCGTCACATCATGGAAATCTCCTGACCACTGTGCGTGTTGTGCTGCAAGAGAACAAAGGGAGGTGAATGTGGTTAGAGCGAATTCTGATCACCGCAGTTGAACGCACACATACACACACACAATCTGGCACATGCACCGCTGCTCTGCACTTTGATGACATTTCTCATGCTCATCTGTCTTCAACTTTCTCCATTCATGCGGTCAGGCAATGCAGCTTTTGATGGTGAACTCTGACATTTAGAATCACTCTCTTCCTCCTCTATATCTCTAAATATGTCCTCACACCTTTTCTTGCGGTGGCACTAAGTGACTCATGTTGTGTTCTGGTAATTATCATGGGATTAGTTGTGCTACTTTGGTTTTAAAGAAGAGGCAAACAACCGTTGTTAGTTTTCAATTTAACTTAGAAAACAACATTTCTAATGATCATTACAACCACAAAAATCATTCATGATTTGAAGGAAATGGTGGTGGATGATCTATGAAAACGGATTCGATGGTATTCAGTGGATTTGCTATTTTTGGGTCTTAAAACTCAATTAAATCATGTTGAAAACAGTAAAAAGTTCATTTTGGTGACGCTTTGCATCCACGCTTTATTCACAGATAACTCTCTTGACTGTTCCTAGGAGGAAAAAGAAGTGCATTCGATACCTTCAAGGAGGATGGTGCGCCAGCCCCACTTCTTCCGATGGAAGCGCTATAGACTCGCCCCCCTCCCCCGTCGACGGCGTCCCCCCTCAGCACCCCTCCCTGCCCAGCTCGCCCTCGCCCGCTTCCCCCTCAGACATCCCCCTGCACCCCCAGCCCAGCAAACAACACACACCCCTTATCCTCTCAAAACCCAAGACCACAGAACTATCTCTCAAAGCTTTAATAGAATCATCCCAACAGCACGACAATCTCAATCATCATCATCATGACTGTACCCTGCCCAAGTCTCACTAGCCAGCCTCACCTGTCCTGCCCCCTCTCACACTTCCTCCCACCATCCCAACACAGACAGACACAGCCCAACCCAACGTCATCAGGACCAAACCAGGAGTGGGGAGCAACACGCTGGAGATAGACCTTCACCACAAACATCCAAAAACAATGACGGAGCGTTATGTCTGGGAGAGGATGCCATTCACATCAATATAACTGACTGACTCCTGACTGATTTACTCAGTGCTCATGTCATTTTAATATTGCCGGGATGATAACTGCCTCTCTTTCGCACTGCCTAAAATCAAATTGATTCCATTTCCAAAGATTTTTACAGAGGAGTACTGTACTCCTTTTCAGAAGACTTTCAGACATGTCAAAGGAACCTTTTCCAGCATAGATAGTATTTATATTGATTCATGATGTGGTATAAGGTTGAAGCTTCAAGGTAGAAGTGAAAGTGTTTTTCACTGAGTAAACATGTTCTTGTCTCCCCTCGGAGAGACTCATCTATGTTATGTTAATGTGTTTTAGGCACTTCCTGTTTGTCAGTCAAATTCTTGCTAGATACATTATTTTGATGTAGGTCTCTCACAGAGAATTGAAACATCATTGGTGTTTGTTCATATGGATGCACAGTTTGGGAGATTAATTTGTTTCCTGGTGTCAAAAAGCCTCCATTATATAATCAACAAAAAAAATTCAGCAGTCTCTAGACTGCCTGTCTGACTGAACATTCTGTTATTCTGTAAACCGGGGTTTCTTAAACAATGGGTCGGGACCCAAAGTGGGCCCTGGGCATGTTAGAGGTGGGTCGCGAGTTAAGAGAATACATCTATAATCACACACTATTTCTTCTTAATTTGGATCAGTGGAGGATGATGAGTCACGGGAGGACGGTTCATTTCGCAATTGGGTCTCGAGCTGAAAAATATTAAAGAACCCTGCTGTAAACTAAAGACCAAATGAGTACTATATTTCATTGTGTTGTAAAGTTTTATAAATGTTGAATTCCCTATATAAAATTAAACTTTTATGTTATGTAAAAAAAAAAGAACGTTTTTTCAAAGTTGTTTCTTTAGTCTCTGCTTTTAGTTTTCCACCATTTCTAAAAGCAATATAATTTTTTTTACACCCGTCTTCTCAGAGAAAACACATTTTGTGCAGAAGTTTTGCATTAGCTTTTCCTTTCATTGAAGTTACCACAGCTGTGTCAATCATTTTCAGTGTGTTCATGTTCCACCTAAATGTACCAAAAATACATGTGAAAAACAATGGCTTTAATTTACTGCTTGCAAGCGTCGAACCCCGCTTACTTTGGAGACACTGTAGGCTGATGTGTACAGCAAGGCTTTTCTGTTTGTTCAATTCATGTCTAGTCCATCAGAGGGTGCTCTAATGCTACCACACATCTTAGATTTGGGGACAACACTGCTCATATCAGAAGAAAGGTGTGTACTTAAGTCTGTCTTTTGTATTTTTTACACATTGAAAGATTTGCCTTTGATGTACTCATTTTTGTTTGATGTATTAAAGTATTTTGAAAATCTGGATCAGTTTCCTCACTATTTCACATTAGATGTACAATCACAAACCGCAGCAGACAGACATTATTTTAAGTAATTTATTAACTCCTGGAATTGAATGGTTGTTAATCCTAAATGTCATCTTCAGAGCAGAACTGAGAAAAGATTCCAATCCAATAGTAATAAGCAAGGTAAATACCCTAAGTTGAGTGACAAACAGACCGTACACATTTACTTATTCGACAAGCACTTCGAGTCCACAGGACATTTTGAACACGTTTACCCCCACTTCAAATCTCCTACGACAGCTTGTCTCCTTAAAGTAATGTTAAGAAGACAGCACAGAAGAGGCTGCCTTTACAAAATTCTGCACTGCACTATCATTTCAGTCAAAAAAGCAATTTATTCAGTTAACTCAAAAAGGAAAAAAATAACATGTCCAGTAAAGAAAGACAAGTATAGCAATTCAAAAAAGGGAGAGAGAGGTACATCTACTCTTGAAATTGTAAAAGAAAGACCAGACTATGCATCTCATGTGAATATATGAAGTGAAGTAACATTTGTAAAAACATGAAATAGCTTTTTTAATTATTTTGCACAAGCAATAGAAATGGTCATGCTTGGAGTACATGGGGGGGCGCTCTAATAGACTAAATGTAATATTAACAAGTATGAACAGCGCAGTGCAACCAGTTAATGGAACAATCCTTTCAGTGTGTTAGTGTTAGTAGGATCCTCCTTTATTTCTCTTCACACCACTGGTTCTCCTTGCGTACCTGAGGGGGGAGAATGGAAAAGCAGCACACTGTCACATTAGTCAAATGTATATTATCACGGCAGCTCCGCATTCAGGACTGCGGCTGTGTCCTAAATCGCACCCTTTCCTTTTATAAATGTCCTACTTTTGACCAGGGCCTATAGGGCTCTTCTCAAAAAAGGTAGTGCACTGTGACTGTATAGGGTGCCATTTGGGACATCCTGAGAACCACAGAAGGCTGTTTTACCTGGGCTTCCTCTTCCTCTGTGAAGTCATTTTTGATATTGAACGTCTTCCTGATCTCCTCTGGGGTCTTTCCTTTGATCATGTTGGCCACCGTCTTGCAGGTGACATCTAGCAGTCCTTTGATGTCCAAATAGTTTGCGGCCTAAACATTTAAAAATAATAGGAGGATGAGGATGAAATGAAAGCAACTGCTGCCTTTCAAGTGAACTACTGCAGCCCAGGGCTTAGGCCATGTAAACAGGTTTCAGGAGCTGGATAAAACCTACTGCTCAAATGACAGACTTGTGTTACAGTTCCTAGAAGCCCTGAGCACTACAAGAACGTATTGCACAATCACTGCAAAAGAACCATGCAAGGCTGCTTGTTTAACTTCATATGCACATAGCTGATACTTCCTGAGCCGCTTCCACACAGGAAAATAAAACGCAGCCGCCTCCATGTGTTTCTATGCAAAGCCGGTGGCAGACTTGCCTCCCACCTCGGCGGCAGCAGCACAGGGAGGGATGGCACATGCACAGGGAATTTCTCTGATGCACAAATTCAACAAATGTTTGCACCCGTGCCTCCCCTCATTGACCAATCAAATTACAGGGGGTTGGATCCCTTTTTCTGGGGTGTTTTATTGGATAATCCAGAGGTGTCATAGCAGCCGCTTTTTGTACCACCAGCATTTAAGATTTTGTATAAACTTTATTGACTCTGTGTGTAAGGCCCTTTAGTAACTACTACTACCTCCAGTTATAACTTTATTACATTTTATTAAGCACCTACTAGATTAACTAGTGCTGTATGTTCAGCTAAGTCATGGCCTAAATTCAAGACCTGAGACTCTTCCTCTTTGTATGTGTGCAGGTGTCAAACTGTTTCTGTGAGTGAGTGGCAGGGGGGGGCGGTAGGTACACACCAGAATGAGTTCGAAGAGGGTCCCTTGGTCCACTTTGAGGAACTCCTGGTCCCAGACGGGGATGTCATCCGTCCTCTTCTCCTTGTTCTCGTCATCCTCAGGGGGAGGGGGATCGTCTTTATGGTGGGTGCACCACTGGATCACCTGGAGGGAGGAAACGGAAGACAGAGTGAGAAAGGAAAGAACATGAAAGGAACAACTATTCCAGGCACAGTCAGTGAATCAACAGTCAGACATGCCAGGCATCCATCTTCCATGGAGTCCAGTTTCAGAGGCCTAACTTGAGGGAGGACGGCAGAGCACACAGGAAGGTTTTTGCATGAAGGTTTCTTTTTGGAGCTGTATGCTTCTGGCAGAGAGATAGATATGCTATTCTACAGACGTAAGAAACATAGAATCAAGTAAAGAACCATGTTAATTAAGTCAGGCAGAAATGTATAATTGTCTGACCATGCAAACATTTCCCCAAACAAAATGTAATTAATTAGCTACATGGATACAGTTGCTTAACAAAGCAGCAGAAACAACACCAGCTTGTCCCACAAGACAGCATGGAACAACTTAGCTGGGAGAGGAAATAAAATCAGCTTTAATCCCACATCCCTTCACACAGTATAAATCCAACTAGCACCATCTACACCTTCTGTAGACAATCACACCATTTGATTTATAGTGATTCGGAGAGGCACAGATGACTAGATGCATTTGTTCTTTTATACTCCTCAAAACATCCATTGACCACATGAACATTGTGGACTGAACCCCTAAGGCCAACTTTCCCAACCATCTGTCCTTGAGCAAGGCTGCTCCTTTAAGTCGCTCTGGATAAGAGCGTCTGCTAAATAATGTAATGATCCAGCACGGACCCTCACAGTGCCTCCCACATAGGTACGGATCCCTGTTACAGGTTTGGGACAGTCATTCTGCCTACAAGTTTGGCTTTTAATTAGTTTAAATTGTGCCCAAATGTTCCACCTCTTGGAAAATAATCTAGGAGAAAGGCTAAGAATGGTTTGGGTTCAATTGAACTGTGACGCTATGGATAGAATTGATGTGCAATTAAACTGATAAAAGTGGAGATAGAGATAAGATAACCCCAGCTCTGGTTGGGAGGAGGCACTTTACCTAAGGTTATCAATGTCCAACTCCCAACAGTTTGCCTGTCCCTCAGTCCATTGCACCAGATATGGGATAACTGTCAGACAGTGAGTCCACTTGCCTTCTTGAGGATGGCTGCATTCACATTCGGGAGGGGGACTGGATCATCATCTCCTTCATCATCCATACCCAAATCTGTCAAAGACAACCATTAAACAAGTGCACACAGATGCTGCCAGACAGTTTTGATAGCTGCACTTTACCATTTCAATGTAGCGTGTCCACCCACTCTGCCCAGAGTTGGTGAAAACACGTTTGGTGATGAAATTGTACTTCCTTGTTATAAAATAAATATTAGCAAGACAAATATGATTCTTCATGTTCTGAAACAATTTAAAATATCATTAAATTTAAAAAAAAGTCAGATTTCATAACCTAATACATCCGATAAAAATAAAAATAATACATCCGATAAGAGCTCTGTTGACAGAACAGCACGCTTTCTCCCAGCGACCTTTGACAGTGGGTTTTGACCAGAGGCGGCGCTTCCACTTGAAAACGCTCCGCTTGAAATTTGCATAAAGTAGAGCTCAACTTTTTCTACCGCTCCGCTAGCTGGGTTATCGCCGCTCACCTTCCCACAATCCCCCGCACATTTCTCTGCGTGCCCTCATTGAAAATGAATGAGGGTGAATTTCTCCTGCTGAATTCGTTGTTGGTGAAAACCCTACTTTAGGATTTTACATGTTGTGGTGGTAGTGTGCAAAGTTCTTTCCGCGGGTCGCAAAAAGCTAAATTAGCATGACACGAGCTGGATTAAATGTAAAATGTTTTGAAAATAAAACGCTTGGTATACGCTCAGTGCTCCTTTAACATTTCACAGAGATATGCTTGTTTTTGTGAGAAATCTTCCAAAAAGAACAGGAATTTCACATTAATATAGAGTGTCTAATCAAATACACAACTTAATTTTGAAGATAATCCTAAGAAAACCAATGGTCCAAACCTCATGTCTATATCAGATCAGATCACATTTTATTGGTCACATACGCCGAATACAACAGGTGTAAACTTTACAGTGAAATGCTTACTTACGAGCCCAATCCCAACAATACAGAGTTAAAAAGACAAATATTTGCTAAATAAAAAAAGGAAATAGTAACACAAAAAGAATAACGAGGCTATATACAAGGAGTACCAGTACCGAGTCAATGTGCAGGTGTACGATGTAGTTCAGGTAATACAGTATTGTACAGTGACTAGGCATCAGGATATATAATAATCAGAGTAGCGTATGTGAAGTGTGAAAGTGTGTCTATGTGTGAGTGGCGTCAATATGCATGTGTATGTTTTGTGTGTGTGAGCATATGTAGTGTATGTGTGTTGGAGTGTCAGTGTAGTATGTGTGAGTGTGTGGGTAGTCTAGACTCCTGAGTGGCGCAGTGGTCTAAGGCACTGCATCGCAGTGCTAACTGTGCCACTAGAGATCCTGGTTCGAATCCAGGCTCTGTCGCAGCCGGCCGCGACCGGGAGACTCATGGGCGGCGCACAATTGGCCCAGCGTCCAGGGAGGGAATGGCCGGCAGGGATGTAGCTCAGTTGATAGGTTGTGGGTTCGATTCCCACGGGGGGCCAGTATAAAAAAAAAATATGTATTCACTAACTGTAAGTCGCTCTGGATAAGAGTCTGCTAAATGACTAAAATGTAAAAATGTAAAATGTAGTCTAGTGAGTGTGCATAGAGCCAGTGCAAGGGAGTCAGTGCAAAACAATTACGATAAATAAATAATAAAAGGGGTCAATGTAAATTGTCCGGGTAGCCATTTGATTAACTGTTCTTATGGCTTGGGGGTAGAAGCTGTTTAGGTCCCGGACTTGCCATGCGGTAGCAGAGAGAACAGTCTAGGACTTGGGTGGCTGGAGTCTGACAATTTTTAGGCCGTTCCTCGGACACCCCCTGGTATAGAAGTCCTGGATGGCAGGGAGCTCGGCCCCAGTGATGTACTGGGCCATACGCACTACCCTCTGTAGAGCCTTGCGGTCGGATGACGAGCAGTTTCCATACCAAGCGGTGATGTAGCCAGTCAAGATGCTCTCAATGGTGCATCTGTATAACTTTTTGAGGATCTGAAGGCCCATGCCAAATATTTTCAGCCTCCGTTCAAAACTTCTTGGGAGTTTTTACCCTTGTTGGATGGTCAAAATTTGCACCACTAAATCAATGGAGGCCAGAGTAAAAACTGGTCAAAAATCTGAAAAATAGCATTGCGTCAGCTAGGCTGGATGCTGTGCGAGATTTAAGGCTACCTTGACTGTTGAACTCATCTTTCTTCTCAAAAAACAGAGGTTTGGACCGTTGGTTTTCTTAGAGGAGTATCTACATAATTAACATTATTTTACCCACTTGTCAAAAGATGCATTGATTGGACACCCTACTCAGGTTACAACCACATGATCACAACAGAGAACATAGCTACATACCTTCCAGCATTGTCTTTATTGTAACAGACTGCTTTGCTATTTCCACATCCACCTCAAAGATCTCTCCATCTGAGCTTTGCAGTTTAATTGTGGGCATCTGTAAAACAGGAAAACGTTTGTCAGCTTCAGGCATAGCTAGTAGAGTAATGATTGACATATGGGGCCATAAATGACATTTTATATAGGGTGACAGAGCCCTATATTTGGCTAACTGACAAGGTAACAGTTACGCTAACTTAGCTACCTTGGCTAACGTTAACGTGGCTAGTTAGCAAGCCATTTCCAATCCTAGTTAGATAAGTAACGCCAGTTAGTTAGCCACCCAAACACTTGCCAGCCAAGTTCAGCTTTCAAACAGTTGAAGAAATCACGTATTGGTAGAAGGCAAATTAGTTACCAGTTCACGCAACTGCCTGTATAACGTTAACCATATAGTTAGCTAGCGTCACACGCTAACTCAACATTAGTTATCTAACTACCTAGCATCGATTCCAGTCTGTTTCATGAACTAGGTAGTTACTTTGCTAACGTTAGCTAGCTACACAGTAACTTGCTTAGTTACTACCTACATACATACGGTCTGGGCAACTGTAAACAAAACAGGATATCTGAAACAGGCCTATGGGCTGAAATAAGATGTTGGATTCAATACTAGCGTTACACTTAAAATGTACCAATCATTTCAGGTAACAGTAACTCGTTTGCTACGTTAACCTTAGCCTGCAGTGCTAGCTAACAACGACAGCCAGAAAACGACTTTAACGGCTAGCTAGCTTCGTCAGCAAGGCCTCGTCTTAGCAGCCATATTCAAGTAATTTATATTTTCATTTAGACATAAGGATAATACATTTAAAAAACCCATTATTTCACCAAGACATGCAACTACATCGTATATAAATGGTCGTTACTTACTGTGAATGTTTTAAAGCAAATCTAGAGATAAAATGTTAAACGTCAACAGGGCCAGACCGAAGCACAGGCAATCACTAGAAAGCTACGCTTTGTCAAATGGAGCAGGTGGTCTTGACTTGTGATATGCCTGTGAGTGATTTTCCCCATTGACGTTAAGACATAATTTCACCCAATATTTATTAACAGGAGTGGCTTCTACTACTATTATTGTAATATTTTGTACATTCTGTTCATTTTTGCGTCCAAAATACATACAATTATATTATTATCTACGCATGTTTTTATTTCATGATGCAGTACTGCTCAGGCTCTGTCAATTTTTCCCAGGACAAAAACAAATTACTGGAATTGTTTTACTCTCTTTGTGCCGTCATATTGTTGGCCAAGATGTTAGTATTTTTTAAAATCCCATGACAGTAATTGATGAATGTAAATAGGCCTACACTTTGTTGCTGCCTTACTTGAATAGTAGGCCTATAAAGTACTACATATAACATGTACGCTAGCTATAAATATTATGCAAAATATTATTCACGACAATGAGCACTGCTTCACAATCACACCTTTACCTTGACACACATTCCGAGTTGTAATTTCGAGTCCTGCCGTGAGATGGCACTCTTTCCCCTTATTTGTATATTTCCATGTATCTTCTTCACTTATAATATTTAGGTGGGTGCTTAATGTTTGTCGTATTTCACACATGTACAAGTGTGTAAAAATATTCATGTTTGAAATGGAAATGTATTTTTTGCATATACTAACTCCCCCTAAGACACCATCTGAGAGTTGGATCACGGCCAAGATCTAGCCCCTGGAGTAATTAGGGTTAAGTGCCTTTCTCAAGGGCACATGGACAGATTTTTCACCTTGCCGGCTCGGGAATTTGAACTAGCAAACCTTCAGTTACTGGCCCAACGCTCTAACCGCTAGGCTACCTGCCATCCTTTGTAAACAGTAACACATTTTTACGACAAATAAGCAGTGGGTGAACAGGTTGGATCATCAGAAGTATTTATCACTACATATAATACAAATAATTATCAGTGCAGGTATTACTTAGCTATGTAAAATTAGAATAAGTGAAGTAGCAAGAAAAATATATCTTCAGCATCCATGGAAGCTTTATTCTTCACCCTTTCTCCAAAAATCAATCATGGTTTTGGTCATTTTAGGTAGGCATATTGTGCCATCACTTACATACATAACCGTAAGCCATGGTTAAAAGTCCAACAGCAGTGTCAGATGAAGCAAAGTCAAGTGAATAAACCAACACATCTCACAAGTCAAGGAGCAACTTTCATCTTTATTATTCAACTGGAACCTTCAATACAGAAACTAAATCATCATGAGTAGTGAGTGTGTGACCATTTTCACAATGGTTTTTCAATCGGTCTGCCATACACAATTGGATGGGCGCCTGTTTAAGCAAGTTTGTCCTCAAATGTATACCCGAGAGTTTAACCCAGCATAAAGCTGCTGACAGAATCTAAAAGAAAACATTCGGTAGAATGAAATGTCCATCTTCTGACTTATGTTAAAATGTTATTTGAATGTAAAATCATTTTTTGATTTTTTTAAAATCTGAAAATGTTGGGACTCACAAAATAAGCCATGGTACATTGGATTGAAAACGTTTCAATTTACAAAACTTGGTTGCCACGCTCACCTTGAGATTAGAGACAGAGTAGAGCTAGAGGAGTAAGGAATTGGGGTTGTGATCTTGGACATCATACTCTTCAGCATTTTGTAATGAATATATGGCACACACCATTTGGTCCATGTACACAGATGTTTTCTGAATGCTTAAATAGCGTTTTGTGTGAATACAATTATGTACATTGATGTTTTGCCGTGTTGCCCCCCCTCCGCCCCGCCCCCCTCTCCCATGGTGTTGGATGCTAAAGGTACTTTCATAAATCATGGCAATACTGGACAGTACAATGGGTGAGGTTTTACAGGAAGTAGTCTGGGGTGCGACGGGTGACATGGGGTTCCCCTCTACGAGGCGCCGGGTCAAACTGCAGGCTGAAAAAGAGAAACACATATCTTGTTTTTAATCAAAAATCCTGTTGAGAGTTTATGGAACATCATCATCATCATCATTACATATACATTAAGGTAATTTAGCAGATGCTCTTCTTCTCCATCATCTCTCCCTCCATTTGGCAAATCTGACCATAACTCTATCCTCCTGATTCCTGCTTACAAGCAAAAACAAAAAAACAGGAAGTACCAGTGACGCGCTCAATACGGAAGTGTTCTGATGAAGCGGATGCTAAGCTACAGGACTGTTTCGCTTGCACAGACTGGAATATGTTACGGGACTCATCCGATGGCATTAAGGACATTAACCACATCAGTCACCGGCTTCATTAATAAGTGCATCAACGATGTCGTGCCCACTGGGACCGTACGCACATATCCCAACCAGAAGACATGGATTACAGGCAACATCCACACTGAGCTAAAGGCTAGAGCTGCCACTTTCAAGGAGCGGGACACTAATCCGGACGTTTATAAGAAATCCCGCTACGCTCTCTGATAAACCATCAAACAGGAAAAGCGTCAATACAGGACTAAGATCGATTCCTACCAAACCAGCCAGATGGATGACCAGAACACGTACTCAGAGCATGCGCTGACCAGCAGGCGAGTGTCTTCACTGACATTTTCAACCTCTCCCTGACCCAGTCTGTAATAACAACATTTCAAGCAGACCACCATAGTCCCTGTGCCCAAGAACACCAAGGTAACCTGTCTAAATGACTATCACCCCATAGCACTCACATCTGTAGCCATGAAATGCATTGAAAGGCTAGTCATGGCTCACATCAACACCATCATCCCAGACACCCTGGACTCACTCCAATTCGCATACCGCCCCAACAGATCCACAGATGATGCAATCTCTATTGCACTCCACACTGCCCTTTCCCACCTAGACAAGAGGAACACCTATGTGAGAATGCTGTTCATTGACTACAGCTCAGTGTTCAACACCATCACTAATCTAAGGACCCTGGGACTGAACACCTCCCTCTGCAACTGGATCCTGGACTCCCTGTTCACCCACGACTGCGTGGCTGCCCACGACACCAACACCATCATTAAGTTTGCCGATGACACGATGGTGGTAGGCCTGATTACTGAGGACGAGACAGGCTATAGAGAAGTCAGGAGACCTCCTGGCATTGTGGTGCCAGGACAATAAACTCTCCCTCAAAGTCAGCAAGACAAAGGTGCTGATTGTGGACTACAGGAAACTGAGGTCCAAGCACACCCCCATTCACATCGACAGGGCTGTAGTGGAGCGGGTCAAGAGCTTCAAGTTCCTCGGTGTCCACATTACTAAGGATCTATCATGGTCCACACACACCAACACAGTCGTGAAGAGCGCACGACAAAGCCTCTTCCCCCTCAGGAGGCTGAAAAGACTTGGTATGGGCCCTCAGATCCTCAAAAACTTCTACAGCTGCACCATTGATAGCATCTTGACTGGCTGCATCACTGCTTGGTATAGCAACTGCTTGGCATCCGGCCGCAAGGCGCTACAGAGGGTAGTGCGTACAGCCCAGTACATCATTGGGCCGAGCTCCCTGCCATCCAGGACCTCTATACCAGGAGGTGTCAGAGGAAGGCCCTAAAAATTGTCAAAGACTCCAGCCACCCAAGTCATAGACTGTTCTCTCTGCTACCGCACGCAAGCGATACCGATGAACCAAGCCTGGAACCAACAGGACCCTGAACAGCTTCTACCACCAAGCCATAAGACTGCTGAACAGTTCATGGCTACCTGGACTATCTGCATTGACCCTTTTTGCACTACCTTTTTTGACTCATCACATACGCTGCTGCTACTGTTTATTATCTGTCACTTTTTCAAAGTTATATGTTCATATCTACCTCAATTACCTTGTACATTGACTCGTTACTGGTACCCTGTGTATATATCGCTACTCATTGTGTATTTATTATTACGCGTTTTACTTTTCTATTATTTCTCTATTTTCTTTCTCTCTGCATTGTTGGGAAGGGCCCGTAAGTAAGCATTTCACTGTTAGTCTACACCTGTTGTTTACGAAGCATGTGACAAAATTTGATTTAATTCATCATCCTCATCCTCCAGAAATAATGGAGGCCCTTGCTGGTAATTCACCAAACTGAGGAGGAAACACTTCTAAGGGTTGGTCATGTATGGAATGGTAATCGATAGGCTTACAAGGATTCAATCAATATGCTTACAAGGAGTATTTCAGGGTGTCGTCGAGTTCCATGATAGCTGCCTGGTTACCACAACGGTAACAGTAATTTGGTGCACTGAATATTGTTACCACGTTTCGCTCGTGGCACCAGTTGTAACCCTGTAGAAGAAAACAGGAGAGCAGCGAATTAGTAGTGAATGCAGAAATCTGAGACATGCATACAGACATAACATTATACATATTAACCAACTTGAATGAGGGAGCTAACAAGAAATGCATTCCAATATGGTTTCACACTCATACAGTTCACATTATGGTCACCTTTGAGATTTCAAGCATGGAGAATCAGCGACAGACAGTTTACCTCCATAACCAGCTGATGAGCTCTGGACACCAGAGTAAGGCGGTTGGCATGATTGAATGTCTCAGATATGTCCTGGCCAAAGGTGTAGCCAGCCCCCCTGGGGGAGATGCCCCAGCCCCCACGGTCATCTGGGTCTGACCACAGCAGGTCACACATGGGGCCCTGGAGAGGAGGAGACATGTGTAAGCAGCATAGTGATAAAGATAAGGATCCAATAAGATGGAGTAGGATGGAAAGTTGCCTCAATAAGCTTTTGTGTTTTTCCACCTAATGGTTGAGGTTAGGATTAGGGGCAGATAAACTGATCCTAGACCTGTGCCTAAAAGCTATTTCTGCCTAGCACCGATGAGACAGCAGAGCATGCTCAGAAGCAGGGTTGTTGAGCTTTGTACCTCGTGTGGAACTTCCTGCAAACGGTCCAGCGCTCGGATGTGATCCAACGTGTCTATGGACGGTGACAGGCCCCCGTGAAGACAGAATATCTTAGAAGGGAAAGAAAACAGAAATGTTACTTGAGGATTTCAATATTGGTTTTGACTCCGAGTAACATTTTGACAGAGACATAAGACATGAGTGAACATGTATTTACAGCAGCAGGTAAAGCATTGATAATTTCCATGTAAAAGGACCCATGAGCACCAACATGAAGTTCATAGTATATCAAACTGGGTGTCAAATGAAAGCTAAGCATCTAAATTTTTGGGAAATGCAAGCAGAAAGTTTTTTTTTACAATTTTCCATCTAAAGAATTAGGCATAAGTAATGGCTTTGATTTCTGCTCCAACAGATATAAAATGGGTCTTAGAAAACATCTACCAGAAAAAGTCTTAAAAAAGGTATTAGAAATACATCAAAACACAATAATGTTGAAGACCCCTACCAACTAACATCAACACATATTTGGCTTTGGAGAGATGATTTGCCTTCTTTAAACAACATTGCCTTGAGGCTTGTAATTCTGTTACCAAAAACCCACATCTTTAAGATATTTTATTTATTTATCTCCCTCATGAGGATAATGAAAGTTCACAGAAGTAACAAGGTAGACCTACCAATTAGTGTTTTTACTGATATACATTTTGTTTATGAATTATTAAGTGATTAAAACTCGTAATTCTGTTACCAAATCGGAAACGGAATTACAATAATTGAATACAATGGGAAATCATAGTAGTCACAAACCAAAGGTTGGGTCACCTGCTAGTGTCCTCCCTTTGCTGGTGACACTGTTGGTGATTTATTTAGAATTCAAGGCACACTTAACCAGCATCGTTTCACAGCATTCTGCAGCGATATGCCATCCCATCTGGTTTGCGCTTAGTGGGACTATCATTTTTTCCCAACAAGACAATGACCCAAAACACACCTCCAGGCTGTGTAAGGGCTATTTGACCAAGGAGAGTGATGGAGTGCTGCATCAGATGACCTGGCCTCCACAATCACCCGACCTCAACCCAATTGAGATGGTTTGTGATGAGTTGGACCGAAAAGTGAAGGAAAAGCAGCCAACAAGTGCTCAGCATATGTGGGAACTCCTTCAAGACTGTTGGAAAAGCATTCCTCATGAAGCTGGTTGAGAGAATGCCAAGAGTGTGCAAAGCTGTCATCAAGGCATTAGGGTGGCTACTTGGAAGAACCTAAAATATATTTTGATTTGTTTAACACTTTTGGTTACTACATGATTTCATGTGTGATTTCATCGTTTTGATGTCTTCACTATTATTCTACAATGTAGAAAATAGTAAAAATAAACAAAAACCCTGGAATGAGTAGGTATGTCCAAGCTTTTGACTGGTACTGTATATATCTATTTGTATTTTTTATTTGAGTACTCAAACAGTCCAAAAATGTCAAATGCCCATCCCTAACCTACGTCCATGGACGTGATTTCAACGTCCACAGACGTTGTTTTTTGGGCCGGTCCGGCCTTGATTTGGCCCAAACAAAAGGTGTCCATGATTGATGACCGGACCAAATCTGAACCAATCATAGACGTCTATGTTTCAGAAGTTTGGACAGCACAGTAGAGTACAGTGAACCACAGTAAAGAAAAGAAGAGTAGAGTATAGTACAGTAGAGCACACTAGAGTAGAGAACAGTATAATGTACTGTATTACATTTACATTTTAGTCATTTAGCAGACGCTCTTATCCAGAGCGACTTACAGTTAGTGAGTGCATACATTTTCATACTGTACCATACTAGTACTCTACTGTAATGAACTCTACTGTGATGTGCTGTGCTTTACTCTACTGGCCTGCCCAAACTTGTGAAATACAGACGTCTATGATTGGTTCAGATTTGGTCCGGACCAACCAAATTTGGTCTTGTTTGGGGGCGGAGCTCATTAGAATAATAGCCAGTGTGTAGAATAATACCCATATACAGGGCTCAACATTTTTATTTTTCACTAGTAGCACTTTTAAAAGTACCACATGAAATTTAGGAGCACCAAAAAATAATATATTTTTGAGATTGAGACAGCCTATATTGGGCCTATATGAATTCTAGCTACTTTTGAAGCACATGTTGCGCCCTAGAAACTAATATTTAACACTGTAAATACATTAGTTTATTATAAAATGTTACGAATACCTGTCATTGAAATTACAAAGTCATTTATGGAATATTAGATTTTACATTGTGTAAAAGCACTATTTTCCTATTGAGATGCATTACATTGAAAATCGTACTTCGTATTTAAAAACGTCAAGTTTGTGATGACGCATGCAAGAGATCTGTCATTGCCAGAGATATGATCATAGCTATCCCTTTTCCATTCTTTCTGTGCCTCCAAATGTTTGGATATACTGGTAAAGTTACCGGGTTGTTAGCTAGCTAGCCAATGAGGTAACATGACTGAACAAAGTGTAAACAAATGGTTATCGACATCGACACGCAAGTAGTTTTAGAACAGCGCACGACATGGTTTATGAATGTAAAATGCGATCCCTGCGAACCGTTTTAGGAAGATAAAATGTTGTGCTGGTAATATAGGTCAGATCTTTTGACCTGGATGGGCTAGAATCAAGCTGTGTTTGCTGTAGTAATGGTGCAACCATGACGCTAACAAATCTGCAGCACTCGGAAACAACGGTACAGCGAAGCCTTATCATTACAACAATTATCTGGGAGAGCTTTTTTCATAGTCGCACAGTGCTCCCAAAATAAAACTCCTGGTCGCACAGCAAAATGTTTTGTCACACTTTAGAGCCCTGTCCATATATGCAAAAGATGATATTGCATATTTCTACCTTTGTGTACCTATTCAGGATACATCATCATGAAGCGAATGACATTCCTATCCATAATTATGCTATGCATTTCTGTGTAGTACAGAACAGGGACCCATGATGTAATTCCGTTACCAGGTGTAAATCCACTTCACTTACTGTAGTTCAATCACCAAAATATATATATATATTTTTACTCAAGGTGTCATGTCATAGCTGACATCCCATTCTTTCTGCAGACATCTTTGAATCTTAATTCGGAGTAGATATTTAACAAAGTTCTTGGAAAACGTGGTCGCATAAAAAAAACGGCGATTACACCGTAATTCTGTTACTAAACTTTGCATCTGCACAGTTCTTCCAGTAAATGTGTTCGTGAACTTTTGTGTAAATTGTTCAAAGTAATCCTTGTAAAGTTGTATGGTTTGTTAAACTTTGAAAGCAATGTTTTTTGTCTGGCATACATTTTTAAAGTGAAACATTTTAGTCTGTAATTTCCATTACTGTGGAATTGCACCATAGAAGATTCAACTTAATATCTAATAAATGTGCGAAACCTCTTACCTGAGTATCTACCAAGGCAGTGAGGGGAAGGTAATCGAAGAGGTCTGTGAAGAATTTCCATACGTTTGCATTGCCGTATTTCCTTAGGCACTCGTCATAGAAGCCGTACACTTGTGTGATCTGTCTGCTTTCGTGGTTCCCCCGAAGGATTGTGATGCGTTCACGGTACCTAACCTGTGATCAATGTTAAAAATACAGGGAATTACAAAACAGCACTGTTCAATGGAGACTAGGGCATTCTGTGAATGAGAGTGTGTTTTAGCATTACACTGCTTTTACATCACAAGGCCCCTGTGTGTATAACTAATCATTGAGCACTCTCATTGGTCAAGTTAAAAAGTGAATGGTCATTCAAAAAACTTTCAGGGGCGGTTTCCCTGACACAGATTAAGCCTAGTCCTGAACTGAAAAACATTTTCAATGGAGATTCTTCATTGAGTTTGCTTTTAATTCCAGGACTAGGCTTCATCTGTGTCCGGGAAACTGGTCCCCAGTGCACAATAACAACACTTGCCTTAAGTGCTACAAGTAGTGTGACGGTTTCTACAGAGTAGTAGCCTCGGTCCACGTAGTCTCCCATGAACAGGTAGTTTGTGTCTGGAGACTTCCCTCCGATTCTGAAGAGCTCCATTAGGTCGTGGAACTGGCCGTGGACATCTCCACACACTGTGACTGGACATCGGACCTCCTGCACATTGGACTCCTTGGTCAGAATCTCCTTAGCCTGGACAAAACACACAACAACATTAGGTTGTTTCTCCTTCGCCTGGACAAAACATACATTGCAGTACGTTTCAGTCCCTCCCTTCCGAACCGTCATCTCCCCATGAAATAAATAGACTAATGACATTTGGCAAGTTAGTTCAATACCAAAGCAGTTCCTAGAAACCATTGGACTGTGTAGGGCAGATCTAAGAACAGTGCTGCCTGCTGGGGGCAAAGCCGGTGGTATTATAGAGGAAAACAGTCCACTACTGTTCTCTAATGCACGTGATTGCATGCAAGGCTATATTTGTTGTCAATGCAATCTCTCCCCCTATCTCAAAAAGCATCAGTGTTAGTCTTTGATACAATTTCTAGGCTAAACAAAGTTGCAACACACACATAGGTCTCCAGACCATTCCATACGCACTTGTTGACACAATGTTGTGAAACACCTCTCAACCTTAACAAAAGGAAGGGCTTAAAATCAGGAGAGGTGCTCCTTGAGGTGTGTGGCTGGGATGATAAATGTTGGCAGTACTACACTAGGGGTTTAAGTGGTTGTAAGGAGCTTTTAGAGCATAAATCCCATGTTGAGAGCAGCAGGCATAGAGTAGAGCAGGGATGTGTCACTGTGTGTTTGCCTATAGGTCAGATGAGAGCGAAAGAGAGAGAGAAAGAGAGGAAGAGAGCTTTTGATCTCTGCTCCAGGCAGCACCCCGAGGGAGAGAGAGAGAGCGCGAGGGAGAGAGCCACACTGGCAGATGGAGGCCAGGGAGAAACAGAGTGACCAGGCCAGGGCGAAAGAGGACTGTGGTTAGTGTTGACCTAAATACCCACAAAACAATCTGGCACCACGTGCCCTCACAACCATGCCGCATAAGGCCTTTCAATTAACTGCTGGCTGGGGTTTCTATAAAGCCATTCAATCGCTCAGCCAAAAGGCTAATTCTAGATGCGTATTAAACAAACCTGATATTATTTCGAATTAATTTGAGTGGGAATTAAAAATAAAAAGAGTCAGATAGGGCCAACACTGAAATTGTAGGTCAATGGGACTCTAATCTTGGTTAACCCAGAAGTAAAATCCTGCGTAGAGTTAATACATCCTACAAAATATGGTATGACCTCAGAATATATACCCTCTTAAATCAGAAACCTGAACTAACTGATCTAGGTATGTCTATATACACTGAGTATACCAAACATAAGGAACACCTTCCTGATATTCAACTGCCCCTCCCCCACACCCCTTTTGTCCTAAGAACAGCCTCAATTCGTCGGGGCATGGACTCTACAAGGTGTTGAAGCGTTCCACAGGGACCTGTCTCCTCCCCTTCATCTACACTGATTGAAGTGGATTTAACAAGTGACATCAATAAGGGATAAAAAAAATTTCACCTGGTCTGCAATGTTCCCTCTAAACTGTGCGCATGAGCGCAGTAGCCCGAGACTGCCGCGCAGCTCCCCGACTGAGAGAAGCACGAGATTGAACTCTAGAGCAGTGGTCACTAGTCGATCGCCAAATATTTCTGTAAAAAACCCAACGATAAAGCCGTGTGTTCCTTTTTAAAATTTGTATTAGTCTCTGGCTGTTGGCGGTAGGTGCACCCGAATCAGCTGCCCTGTGGGCCGGGTTGGTGAAATGTTGCCATTTTGAACCATTTCATGTGTCTGAAGGTACAAACTCTGCCTTCCCGGTGGGCCCGGAGATCAAATCAAGTGCACTATAGGCCTAACGCTGGCCAATCGGATGGCTCAGATTACCGTGTCTGCAGTAACGTAGCAGGCATAAGCGAAAGCTACAGCAAAGTTGATACTGTGAGATTTCAAAACGTTTAAAACCATGACTAGAGACAGACTCAACGAATACAGCAAAGAGCTGCTGTTTTTATGAGTGAGTTCATGTTTAAGTTCTTACACAGCACTATCGAGACTTTGTATACAATGCACGTTCTTCCTATTTCCACTCAGTGCTACAACAAGTACTGCAGCAGTAATGAATGAGTAGGAAAGTGTATTTATAGGCTTGCATTGTTGCTATTATTAGCGGCTTGGGTCTTTTAATATCGAGGAATATTTAACTTTCCCTGTTCATAGGAGTAACATGAATTTGTGCATGAGGCAGAAATAATGTGGTGCGACTCGAGTTTCGCCATCAGCTGGAAGACGGTGTCCCTTTTTGGTCAGTGCCAGTGGAGGAAAGGGAGAGCGGAGGGATGTTGAGAGGCGGACCCTGAGTCTGCTGCTCTCTCCCTTCGCTGAGACTGACCATCAGAGGCAGGCACCATCAACCCAGTAAAATAAAAAGCAAGTTATTTAAATGTATGCTCACTCAGCTGTGCTTCACAAGTAATACAACAACGGATAGCCTACCTAAAAAAAATGGCCCAAACAACAATGCATTGGCAGGGCAATTCAAGTTAAGCCAATATGCAGTAATAATGTATTGGGCCTATAGCCTACTGCACAAACTTCATTGCTACAGTACTGTTTTAAATTGGTTAATGTTGTATAGGCCTATTTTCTAAGTCATGTTAAAAACAAAGTCTGAGCGGTAGATCTCGGCTTGCATTTTGACTCAGAAGGTACTCGACTTGAAAAGGTTGGTGACCACTGTTCTAGAGTTTTCCCTGTTAACACTATCAACGTTTCCCTTTACTGTGGCAATTGTGATCAATTCAGTGCAATATTAGCCACTTTCAATGCAACAGACCGAAACAAAACGAACTATAAAATAGATTTTGTTGTAGGCAGAACGCATCGGAGTAGGATTCTATTGCATTGACACTCATGACTCAACCCGTACTCTACACAGATCGGTGCAGCATAACCAATCAGAGCTGCAGTAGGCCTACATGCAAATATACCATTGGCATATATGGATATGTGTTGACTTTGAACTGGACTGTGTTTACAGCATGAGCAGATGTGCTTGTTTTGAGATCAAAGCGAGAGCTGCATGTAGCCACGTGTGCGCATTTTGTTCATATCCTTTGCTACTTAGGGAGTTATTAGCCCACTTATAGATAATTTGTAGTCAGCAATAGGGGAGTGATTGCTTCCTATAAGAGCACACACACATATATATATATATATATATATATATATATATATATATATATAGTGAGCTTTTGTGAAAGAGCACAGTTAGAAAGATATGGAATATAGAAGCATACCAGATGGACATCATGAAAATGATCAGAGGAAGTTCAGGAGTAAAAACAAAAAATATAATTAGTGACTGTGTCCATAAAATGTATATAGTATGTATAAGCATGAAGTAGAGGCCTAAGCATTGTTGTTCAGTAGTTTACTCCAATTAGGGAGGGGATGGTGGGGTTGGAAAGTAATAAAGGGAAATATATATATTTTTAAAGGATATGTATGTATGTATGTATGTATGTATGTGTATATATATATATATATATATATATATATATATATATATATATATATATATGAGAAGAAAAAATATATATGGGGGATTGGAAGTGATGTAAACAATTACATTGATGGAAGTTACAATCTATCTGCAATATTAAAGCTGATCTACCCTCAGAAAAAAGAAAAAAAAAGAAAAGAAGAGCACAAAACGTGTACATTTCTAGACATCTTTGAAAAGTGAGTGAGGTAAATATTTTTTTTTGTCTTAAAAGGGGCAGTGTTGTATTTTGAGACAGGCTTGAATAAGCTAAGTAGCCAATAGGCAGAGATTGATTGACCATCGGGTTCTTGGTCACCTCCCTCTCTGTAATAAATGGTATGGAAATAATAATGCATTTTATTTTGTAAAGTGGTTTCTTGCATCAAACAACACCATTTTCAGTCACCTCCGTGTCTGAAGGCCAAGCAGATAAACAGGTTAATGTCAAGCCCTGTATGTTTTTTTTTAAAGTCTCTTGGAATATAGGCCTACATTGAACACCACACATTGGCTGCTACTGTAGGCTGAATGACAGAACAGCTATTTCCATGTTAAAATATTATGGGATGCATTTTCTCCATTGTTTTGATGGTAGGCCACTCTGGTAAACCTACCTTATGATCAAACAGCCACAGTAACCTACTTGGCCACTGTAAAAACTAACAAAGCGGGTACAGCCTCAGTGTTCACAGTAAACGCGCGCTGGAAGTTGCACAGAATTTTCACAATGTTCAAGTTTGCGCTCAGCAGACCTGAAATTTGCTCAGTGCTGAAAAAATGTTGAGGGAACATTGCTGGTAAGTCTACGTCATGGAAAGAGCAGATGTTCTTAATGTTTTGTATACTCCGTGTTAATTGAATGGATGACTTAGCAGGTTACATAAAATGGGTCACCCCTCATAACCGCACCTACTCCAGAAATGCTTGTCCAGCGTCAGCTAGAAACCTTTGGCTTACAATGTTCATTCTGTGAAATCAAACTACTTTATGACATGGTGTGAAGTGAAGTCACCATCTTTGCACCAGTAGATTACATTTAACCAACTGACCCTACTTTTATCCTTCCAAGACCTAGAAAGTGTACTCTAGGTTAAACAACCACATGACCAAGTATGACATCACTCAGAACACAAAACAATGTTCTCAGCACAAAACACATTAACCATCACATGGGGGCAATCACTAATTCAGAATCCAGTGATCTGAGTTTGATTCTCTTGTTGACCCCTCTGAGTAATAAACAAGCAAACGTCTACCTGAAAGTCTTTGAATCAAAACTTAACATGCAAACCAGACTCACGAGCTCCTGCTTCTCTGGGATCATCACACTGAAATCTCCTGGTGTAAGATTATGTTTTAAATACAAGAAAACTGCTTTTCAATATGTTATGAGTGGGTTGCTGAGATGTAACAGCTTGCTTTTCCTCTGCCCCATTCTTTAATTTGTATCCCAATACAGAGGCCATTCCACCAGTGTTATATTGCGTCACAGAGCCCAGCAACAATGTGGTGGCAACTCAGAATCATTCACATCCAAGTCTATTTTTTACTCTCGCTGCGCATTCTGCTGAACACATTAGCAAAATTCACAGGGGGTGGATGCATCAGACATCTCTGAGCAAATGTGTGCTCTCAAACTACACACCACTACTATTATTCTGCTTAGGCCTACCGTTTTGGAGCTGTGAGGG